GAAGAATGTGATGAAGAAGAGATGCAAGATGAAGAAGGGGAAGAAACAATAATACTTACAACTGAAAAATCTGTCAAGAACCAATTAAAATTTGTTATATGTGAAGAGTCCATTGCCACAACCTTTGGTGTTTGCTTTAAATGCGGAAGTCACTGCTCTGTTTCAGTGAAAAGTATGATTGGAAGCTATTGTACAATTTTGATCTCATGTTCCTCTTCAGCAGCACATGATATATCATGGTCAACAGGGCCCCTTATAAATAGATTACCTGCTTTTAACCTACTTTTGGCTTCTAGTATTCTAACCCCTGGAATAGAGTTGAACAAAATAATGAGACTTTTGGAGTCATTAAACATTTTGAGCTTCAAGAGACGAGAGGTAACAAATTTACAAAGTGCATATGTTATCCCATCTGTATTAAATGTGTGGAAAAGGGAACAATGTAAACTGTTGAGTGAAATAAATGGCAAACCAGTTGAAGTAGCATCAGACATGAGAGTGGATAGTCCAGGACACTGTGGGTTACTTGGTGCTGGAAGTACACTGGATGTAAACAGAAATGTAATTCTGGACACTCAAATAATCAAGGTAATTTGATGGGAATGCCTAATAATATTCTACTTGCTAACAAAAACTTGCTAACATATGTCATTATATTTATAGAGCACAGAAGTTTCGCCAGGTTGCCAATGTAAAATAGACGTATGTTCAAACATGTAGATATTGTATATAAATGTATCCATGCAACTGTTGTAACATAGAATAATCTAACTTGCATGGCCACGGTCAGTATTTACTTTGCGAACTTGAAATGAGTGTATAAACCAGTCGGGGAAGCAAATTCTTTTCGGATGCAAGTATACACACACGATGGGAAAACTCTGCGCACCTTTTTCCCAAAATAGTAAAAACCCATCTCGAGCACCTTCTGTAAGAAACAAGACGATATAGTTTATGCGTTTGTTCCAACTGATCGTCGCCAAGCGGCCAATTCTCTTCTAAATATTGCAACACATCAATATCAAGGACGTCCTTCGATAGCATATTTTGCACAAACGAAGACAGGCTTGTTATACAACTTAATTCTTTATTTTTGCCGTTGTAAGTTTATCGTCGTATTCATCGTACTCCAATGCTTTCTCGTGACAGTAGAAGCTTTCAATAGTCTTCTCCATTATCGTACATTTACCGCACTTAGTTTTACAGCAGTCGAGCTGTCGAGGGTAGTACGACGCCAAGCATTGGCCGCTTCGAATTCTTCGTCAAATTCATCCTCTTCTGACCCAGAATCTTCACTCGAAACGTCACTATCCATGCCTTCATCCCGTTTATTCGGCTCAAACATGTACGGTTCAATAATCTTCTCTTTGCTGTCTTTTATTTCAGTAGTTTTGACGCTTTCTTCGCTTGCCATATTGAAACGTATATATTAGGCGAAAACAACAACCCAGGTTGTGACGTCACACAGAAACTTCAGAATAACTCTAATTTGTTCGAAATTTAATCCAAGATGGCGGACGAGGACGCATTACACGAGTATAAACTATCGCGATTTTCTGAAGATACAATTGTCTGAAGACTAAACTTTTACTGATTTTTAATATGTTATAGGGTGGGCTTTATTTTAAAGTCGAAAAAAAATATATTGCCATTTCCCTTTAAACAAACTAAAAATGCAGTACGCTTAATCCTTGACTTCTGTATCGTTGCTTTTCTAGTTTCCGGCTCTACACCAGTTTATTCGTCTCACGTTTCTCTTCATTTTGATAGTATTTTTAGATACTATTTTTAGCCTAAATATTATTATATTTCTGAAGATTTTAAAACGGCGCAATTTTGACCTTAATGTCCAACCAACCAGGCTGCGGCCGACAGGAGAATGTAAGTTGGTGATGTCGTTAGAAATGAGCGGACGTTTTATTTCTATGCAAGCATTGCGGGCACCGCATTTTAGTACTGTGTCTGGTTTTTTCATTAGTTTCGGTCAATATAATCGATGTATTTTGTCATAGTCTAAGTGGTAAGTTTCGTAACGTAACTGAAGATCTTCCTACCTTATGTAATTATATATTATACATTACATTGACAAATTGCTAAAAAAAATTTCCCACGAAAAAATTTCGCCCAATTTTGGGCCGCCTATGGTTCAAAGGGCCCTGTCTACAATTTAACTGGCTTTAATAATATATTTGCATGTGTATCTACATAAATAATATGCAAATATATTTAGGCATGCGTTGCCATTTGCCTTTGCATTCCGAGCCTATCGGCTTTCTACTTATAAATACTTATGTGCTAAAGCTTGTAATTGCGAATTATCTGACAATATTCTTTAAACTTTAACGTTGGACTATGTTATATATATTCACTCCCTGAATGATTTCTATATTAAGCGATTGAATTTTGATAGGGCATGTCACAACACAATCTCATAATTTATAATTGTACATGTACAATACAAACAAATGGTAGCATACAGGTGAAAATATTTGAAAGTTTCTCATTTGGCTTAGGGTTGTACAAATACTTTCGTTAAATATGATTCAGCTACAACTTTGAACTAAAAAAAACAGGGCTACACAATAGCCCTGAAAATCGTAATGAGCGTGATAACTCTGGATAACTCTAACATTGACCTTATCATGATGCTAATAAGCTTAACATTTGCCTTATCATTTGATAATTTTGAGCAAAGCTCTCTTTATTATTGTATAAATGTGTACCAAATGGCACTGAATAGTCACAATGCATATCGATGACTTATATTTATGATGATTCCTCTGATGTAAAGCCATAATATTTAAAAATATAGCATCTTAACATTGACCTTATCATTATGCTAATTAGCTTAACATTCACCTTATCATTTGATAATTTTGAACAAAATTCCCATTATTTTTGTGTAAATGTGTACTAAATGTCACCATATAGTCACAAGACATATCGATGAGCTATATTTATGATGAATCTTCTGATACAATTAAAGCCATAATATTTAAAAAATATAATAATTGACCTTATCATTATGCTAATTAGCTTAACATTCACCTTATCATTTGATAAATTTGAGCAAAACTCTCTTTATTATTGTATAAATGTGTACCAAATGGCAATAAATAGTCACAATGCATATTGATGAATTATATTGATAATGATTCCTCTGATGTAAAGCCAAAGTATAGAAAAAATATAGCATTTTAACATTGACCTTATCATTATATTTTGTTGTATAATGTTCACTCCCCCCTGGTAAATGGTTCTTTTGCAACAAATAGACTCCTTAAGTAGATAAGTTGAAAATAATGGAAAAATAAAAGTGGCATCTTAACATTCTACTTATCATGTAGTGTGGACGCGGACGGGGACGGGGACGAGGACGAGGACGGGGACGCGGACGCGGACGCGGATGCCAAGACTATAGCAATAGCTCTCTTGCACTAAAGTGCAGGCGAGCTAAAAAACTTGTTTTAAGAACTAGCTAATAGCTCATTATTAGCTCGCCTGCACTTTAGTGCAAGAGAGCTATTGCTATAGTCTTGGCGTCCGCGTCCGCATCCCCGTCCCCGTCCCTGTCCCTGTCCCCGTCCGCGTCCACACTACATGATAAGTAGAATGTTAAGATGCCACTTTTATTTTCCCATTATTTTCAACTTATCTACTTAAGGAGTCTATTTATTGCAAAAGAACCATTTACCAGGGGGGAGTGAAAATTATACAACAAAATATAATGATAAGGTCAATGTTAAAATGCTATATTTTTTCTATACTTTGGCTTTACATCAGAGGAATCATTATCAATATAAGTTATCAATATGCATTGTGACTATTTAGTGCCATTTGGTACACATTTATACAATAATAAAGAGAGTTTTGCTCAAAATTATCAAATGATAAGGTGAATGTTAAGCTAATTAGCATAATGATAAGGTCAATGTTAAGATGTTATATTTTTTAAATATTATGGCTTTGCATCAGAAGATTCATCATAAATATAGCTCATCGATATGTCTTGTGACTATATGGTGACATTTAGTACACATTTACACAAAAATAATGGGAATTTTTTTCAAAATTATCAAATGATAAGGTGAATGTTAAGCTAATTAGCATAATGATAAGGTCAATGTTAAGATGCTATATGTTTTAAAATATTATGGCTTATACAGAGGAATCATCATAAATATAAGTCATCGATATGCATTGTGACTATTCAGTGCCATTTGGTACACATTTATACAATAATAAAGAGAGCTTTGCTCAAAATTATCAAATGATAAGGCAAATGTTAAGCTTATTAGCATCATGATAAGGTCAATGTTAGAGTTATCCAGAGTTATCACGCTCATTACGATTTTCAGGGCTATTGTGTAGCCGTTTTTTTTAGTTCAAAGTATGAATCATATTTAACGAAAGTATTTGTACAACCCTAAGCCAAATGAGAAACTTTCAAATATTTTCACCTGTATGCTACCATTTGTTTGTATTGTACATGTACAATTCTAAATTATAAGATTGTGTTGTGACATGCCGTATCAAAATTCAATCGCTTATTAAATATAGAAATCATTCAGGGACTGAATATATATAAAACATAGTCCAACGTTAAAGTTTAAAGAATATTGTCAGATAATTCGCAATTACAAGCTTTAGCACATAAGTATTTATAAGTAGAAAGCCGATAGGCTCGGAATGCAAAGGCAAATGGCAACGCATGTGACATATATTTGCATATTATTTATGTAGATACACATGTATGGTGGCCTATCGTTTTCATTCAAAATTTCTCAATTAAAATAACAAAAAGTAGAGATGAAAGTTAAAATTATTTCGAATTTAATTATTATAAGAATGAAAATAAAAAAAAATTATTTTAATAGTGAAGTAAAATGAAAATGAAATTCTTTTTAAATGTAAACGAATTTAAAATAAAAGTAAATTAAAAATTTACCCAGCCTATCGTTGTCACAATATACCATAATGCATTGCGGTGAGTTTTCAATATGGCGTATTTGCGCAATGCAGATTGGAAAGAAGATGAAGCTCTAAAGGCCGATTTACAAAAGCATGTTAGGGAAGATCTTAGGAGAACAGAAATTTTGGATTTCGTAAAAAGAGATTTCCCGCATTATGCTTGGAGTTTATCGTCGTTGGACCGCCGAATGCGGTATTTTGAGATACATTATACTGACAAGGAGGTTACAATTGAGCAAGTCAGGGCTGCTGTCAAAAAAGAAGTAGACGGACCAGGAAAGTTACTCGGATACAGGGCCATGCAAAAGACGCTGAGACAAACTCATGAGCTGAAAGTTCCAAGAGACTTAGTTTATGCCGTTATGCAAGATGTGGACCCAGAAGGCTTACAAGCCAGAGGAGGGGTTGGGAACACAAAACAAAAGAAAAAAGGGAAATACACCACAAAAGGCCCCAATTTTGTTCTTTCGCTTGACGGGCATGACAAGTTGATGGGCTACCAAAATAGTACATTTCCTCTTGCAATTTATGGGTGTATAGATACAGCTAGTAGGAAAATTTTATGGCTTAAAATTTGGGTTAGCAACTCCGACCCTCAACGAATTGGCTATTGGTATTTGGAGTACCTTTTTGAAAGTAGGCTTTTGCCTCGGTACTTAAGAATAGACAAGGGAACAGAAACTGGGACAATGGCAACAATGCATGTCTATTTACATCAGGTACTTGGTACACCTGACTATTCTGACACTGTCATATATGGCCCATCTACATCAAATCAGGTAACTAAAATCATTATCATGTTTTTCTCTCTATTAGGGAGGCTGCTATTAGGGAGGCTGCTATTAGGAGACCATTCAGGGTTCCATTAGAATAAAATACAATTAAATACTAGAATAAGGCACATCAGGGTACATTGCATGCAAATATGTATGAATTACATGTTTAATTACAATTTGATTTAATTTTTTCAGATCGAAAGATGGTGGAGGGAATTACATGAGAGACTAGAAAAATACTTCAAAGACCATCTAAGATGGCTGAAAGACCAAAATCATTATAATCCCAATGATGAAACTGACAGGTATATTAATGTGTATGTCAAACAATTTGCTACATTTCTCTATATAGGATTAGCAAATATTCAGAATATATTGGTCTGCTTATATTTTTCAGGATGTTGCTCTCGTTCCTCTTCATTCCAATAATGCAACGTGAACTTGATAAATTTAAAGACACTGTTTGGAACAGTCATAGGATAAGGCAGCAAAAGGATACCAATCTACCAGGTGGCGTGCCTAACCACATCTATCAATTTCCTGGCCAATACGAATTGGAGGATTGTGGTACGTTTTGAATACACCTTTTTATAAAGGCAATTGCCAGTGACCCTTTTATGCCCAGAGTTTATAGTGCATGGACAACCCTGATTGAATGAGCTGCACCAGGAGGGTAGGCCACTTATTTAATTTCTCCATTATTAGACCTATAATATTGTCCCATACTTCAATAAATATGTGCTATATATAGGCTACCAGGTTACAGAAGAACAGTTGCAAGAGGTTGCAGAACAGTCACAAGTACTTCAGGCAGACAAGGATTTCTTATCTGAGGAATTTAGGGCAGCCTGTCTAGAAATTATTCCATTTCCGGAATTAGTAGAGCCAAGAGAGTGCTCAGATGCTTTTGTGTACCTTAAAACAAACATTAATATTTCAGCCACTGTTAATAGCCGAATGTGATATGGATATTATATAACTTGATTGTTAACCTGTTTATTACCCAAGGAATGGGGCATGGCACAAATAGTGCTTAAACTGTGAACCATCTGGTCTTCTTATTGCTGGCCCCAACAAAATTCTTTTTTTATTTTTTGTATGTTTTAGCTATAAAATTATCTATCGAATCTTTCATGTCATGTTAAAAGTAACATATGGGCAGCACATTATTTACATACAAATTTTTTGTCAAACCATAATAATGCATAATAATTGTCTAATTAGATAATAAAATACTTCCTTATATTTATATAGTTATGTTTAAAATGTAAACTTGTTTATAAACTCAATAAACTTGTTGATATGTATAATTGTTCACATATTACTTCATGAAAACATCAATTTAGTGTACATTAACTATAACCATTGCAAAAACAAAACAATTACTAATTGAGAATAATGTTAATTCCCATGGTAAAGTTCTTCTTCAATTTTCCACTATTTAGTTACTAAGTTCAAACATTTCCCAGTGAAATCAGTCCCAGCAATTGAATGATGAATTAAATGGTTTTAGCTCTAGCATTTTGCAATATTCATTGCAAACATGCAGCAAAGTAAACTTCTCTATAGCTGTTTTCGAAAGGTTTCCTGCACAAAATAGTACCTTACCATCCTCTACTAGGTCCATTGATGCAATCTCAGGGTCATACAAGTTAGCATCACTACCTTGAATATCCAAAATCATCAGTTTTTTCTCTGACTCTTTTCAAATGAAAAGTGAGACAGACATTCAGCCTTCTGGCAAAACTCGTCACTTGGTTCTCCACACACTGCACCAGTGTTGTTCATGTATTTCTTAAATTCACCAGGTATAAACTCCTCAATTGTCACATATTCATTTTCCATTTTCCCAAAAAATATATCTCCATATTGAAGCATTTTGCCAAAATCCTGTTGTTTATTTGCCTTCTTAACTGCTGCAGATAAATTCATCGCCATATTGGAAGCAAGATGATGCATTTGCACTACCTTTTTGGTATGACTTTCTTCTGTTTCACCCATTTCTTTGATGGTTTCTTTTGTTTGTGGAATGTATCTTTTCAATACCCATTCTTTTTTTGCAAACTTCTTATCTCTTGAAGTAGCTTTATATGCTTCTCGAAAACCACCCGATGCAAACGATGTTTTTGCAACAGAAAATTCGACACGATCAGGTACTTTTGACCAAGACAATGTTTCAAGGTCAAAGGTGAACACTTCAACCACGGTGGACGTTTCTTCAATTGTCTTTCCCAGCCTCAACATTGTTGAAATAGAAAGACTTTTCGGGTATTGTTTCCGAGGCAGATCTTGAGTGGATGTCGGCACTGATTTCGACGGTGAACCAGCGTAAGAAATATTCCCTTTTTGACGTTTTGGCACTGAGGGACCTTCGACAGGATCACGTTGAGAGTCCACGCTTTCAATGAACCGAACATGTATGACTTTTGTATCGGGAAGTTGATCTATAGATTGGCAAGAAGGACCTTGATCCCCGGCTAGAACATCACATACTAAACTACTGCCAACCACAGCTGCAAAGTGCTTCTCACACGAAGACTTGATATTCTCTATCGTCATTTCCTCGTGCGGAAATGTAACAAATTCTCTTGGCCCTACTCTTGAGTATTTCTGAGCTTTGCCCGATACGGTCGAACTCAGGCGCTGAACTACAAGTTCACCAGATTTTAAAACAGCCGATCTTCCCTTTTTTCCTCCTTTCCCCATTCGCTTATCTTTCATAGTTTGTTTAAAGTTCTTCCAAGCTTGATTACTCATGTTTAAAATAAATACAGCAGCACCCACACGCCGATTACAATTGCAAATTTACAACAGGAAACGTGTTTACTGCTCTTATCCACGCGCAAACTCACCGCAATGCATTATGGTATATTGTGACAACGATAGGCTGGGTAAATTTTTAATTTACTTTTATTTTAAATTCGTTTACATTTAAAAAGAATTTCATTTTCATTTTACTTCACTATTAAAATAATTTTTTTTTATTTTCATTCTTATAATAATTAAATTTGAAATAATTTTAACTTTCATCCCTACTTTTTGTTATTTTAATTGAGAAATTTTGAATGAAAACGATAGGCCACCATACACATGCAAATATATTATTAAAGCTAGTTAAATTGTAGACAGGACCCTTTGAACTACCTATAAGATTTATGTACATACTTTTTCGTTGTTTGATGCATAATCCTTTTTTGTGTAGATATAACAATCCAATCTTGTTTATTTCATAAAGCTAGGCGCACACACGAAGATTTTAGTCTGCCGATTCCTGTCTAGATTGTCTAGATGGATGTTTATGTTGATAAATGTGGCGACTGGCGATCTATACACGCGCGAGGCGCGAGCGCCGCGAGAAGGAAAACATGTCTGGGCATTGGCAAGGGCTGCCTATATGTCTAAACCTGAATGGACCAACTACCGTAAAATCGTTGTGTGTGCGCCCGGCTTAAAGCAGGGACTTTTGCCTGGTCCGTTAACTTACCTGTTGATATCACGTGCGCGGATTGCGAGAAACGGAAGAAATATTGGTCACAAATAAAACTAATGTAATTCCGAGGCCAGTTTTGGCCAGTAATTCTGAGGTCACAACTAATATCTGAAGTTTGTGCTTAAAATTACCTTCCAACGCGGATTTTAGCCTTGTAATTTGTAGTGAAAAGATCGGTAATTTGTGCTTCATACAGATACCTTTCATACAGAGTTTAGCCTTATTCTAGACAAACAGTGCAGGCGAGCGTTAGGTGATTTCAGCACCTCTCTGGTTTTAGTTTTGTTATTATGTTGAAATTATTCTGTTGCAGCATGCATGACATGATGGCTAACCATTTTTCTGTGAAGTCAGTTAAAGTTCATTTTAAAACTTTTAAAAGTATATCTTGTTAGAGTTTTATATTAGTCAAAAATAAAAACAATGATATCCATTCATATTGACTATGTCCACAACTAATGTTTTGAGAACATATCACACAAACTATTCCTGAATAGTGGATCAACACCAAAATATTTTGCAGTTAGTGTGCCATATAAGGAAGAGCGAGCATTTTCTAGTAATGCGCAGACCAAATACATTTTCCCCACCACGCTGAGACCAACTTTCAATTTTTTTTTAAAATCTAAAAATTTAAAATAAATAATTATATCGCCAAACATCCATTCGACAGAAACTCTAACTTTTCTCATTGATTTGTTCCACTGGCTTTGCATCTCTGTGACCATGGCACCTTTAAATGGACCTGGTAAATGTGGGCGGAGTGGGTAAGCTGGGTCACCATAGATGCACATGATATTTCCTTGGGTATCAAACGAACATTGCTCCAACTTCTCTAGCATACCCGACTGAGCGAGCATAGAACTGTCGTGACGTTTCCCTTCAACTGGCCCATAAAGATTTGCAATCATTCCACATGGTGTAGCAATCGATTGGAACTTTATCGCGTGAACTTTTTTATGGCCATTGTAAAGCCCACGCTGAAATCTACCTGGTCGAGATACATGCCGAACAGTTCCGTCGATAAATCCCCTGCAATTTTGTAGTGCTGCTTCTTTTTGGTGAATAGCGTCAGCAAAGATCTGTAAACGATCGGGTTGCAACCAAGGTTGATCCAACTCAGAAAGCAAATGCTGCCATCTATCATATATTATATTCAACACTTGGTTGGAAATCATGCATAGCTGAGGCTCTGGCCTGGCAAATCTATGTACCATGTCCAGGTACCTGCATGGGTATGCAAAACGCTTCGGCAAAATTGACAAGCCTTCAACTTTATCAACAACTAATCCATTATAGCATCGTATTTCTGATGGTATTTCAAGAAGATCTACTAGATTATAAATATCATTCTTGAAGAATCTAAATTCTGAAAGGCATTCGTCGTCGTTCAGTTCATCTAAATCAAAGCTTCGATTAGTCCAGTAGGGAATTCTTGGATTCTTTGGTTTTGCTGCATTATACAGAAGGGCAAATTCTTCGTCAATTAGACCATTCAAAGCGTGGCCAAATATGCAAATTTCACGAAAGTTCAGCCTCGGGTTCGGCATGTTTATAAATTTGGGTTTCGAAATTTCCCGCGGTTTTGCGTCAATAATCGTAATCATTTGAGAGCAACGACGGCGACGAGAACGGTGACGGCGGTCTTCTCAAAGTAAGACGTTGCCGTCACCGTTCTCGTCGGCCAAACGTAAGGTCACTATTATAGCTCAGTGAACGTTACTGACAACCTCGTACTCAGGGTTTTTACTCTACTCGTGGGGAGTAAAGACCCTGGTCGGGGCTGGTCACCTGTCACGCAGATTTTGCATGATGAATTTAAATTCTTATCTGGGAGGGGTGGCAGAGGAGTTGTACTAATCCGTCTTAAAAATTGAAATATAGATTGGTTATTGCGCTCATTTGTTTTGATTATACAGAATACGCAAAAGCTTGGATTTCTTCTTCGCCACTATGAATTTAATATATCTTGGATTGAAATTAAATACATCCTGTTGTCAAAGGCACCTCACATGCAGTAATATTAAATTACACAAGTCAAAAATTCCGGTCAAATTTCACTCATTCTATCTCGAGTCTCGACCGCCGCAATGGCTAGCACACCGAAAAAACTCTACCCAAAACGAAAGGAATCGACAGCTATTTCTCGCTGCAGGCTTTGTAACTGTGTTGCTGATCCAGGGCACAGTCTGTAAAAATCTGTTTCGTGAAAAGAATAAAACAATTTTACGAAACGCGGAGGTCGTTTTTGGTAACGAGTTGCCACAAGATAACAACCTTCCACATTTGGTTTGCGCCTCGTGTGTTAGGAGATTGAATAACTTTATTCTGTTCAAGAATATTATTACCGAAACACAGCGATCGTTAAAAGAAGATACACGTGTTAAACGTTGTGTCGAAATTTCACCTTCTGTGGCAAAACCGTCAGCCAAAGCTCGAGCAACAGGAGCATCTAGACGACGAAGCATAGATTTCAATCTTGCCACTGCCGGCGATCAGTCGCCTAGTTCGAAATCACAATTGCACGTAAGTATTTAAATTTATTAAAATTTATCTGTTTGGTTTCTTACAGAATATTCTGCGTTGATAATGATCATGATAGACTTAAATTTTGCATTTTAATCAGATTCATGTTTCATAAATATAAATATGAACAATGGTTTCGTTCAGGATATTGCACAGTGTTTCAAAAATTGGGATATAATCATAAAAACTGTAATTTGTCTAAATAGTATGAATGATATATTACTTTTTTAATTAAAGACGGTACAAGTATTGGATATGGCAAACAAAGAACTAGTTGAGGTTGCCAGAAGAACTGAGCCATCTGTTTTGAGGCACAGGACATATGATGGTATGTCAGCTGACAATTGGATGTCAGAGGTGTTGGAGGAGTTGGCCACTAGATGTCCAGTTACCAACAACATTTTGTCTGCTCTTCTGGAGAGCACAATCTACCAGAATAAGAAACAGCCTGCTATCTGCTTAATTTATGGTATCATGATGTTCTTGCGATGCCATGAATTAAGCAGAGTTCAACGAATCAATTCTGTCTTGCTGATAGAAGGCCAAGCATCTGAAAATGTAAGTCATTATTGATTATTGCATGTTTTTCATAGATTCAACTGGTAAATAATTATACAGTAATACTGTGTAGCTAAGTTATATAAAGTTGCCCATTAATTTCTTGTTATGTAACATCAGTTGGTTTAAACCATTTTGTCAAGCTATAAACATTTGCACCTTTACACTTTAAGCCGTGCAATGAACCAATGACCTATCTTCCTGCAGCATCTTATGGCTCATTTATAATTTTTTTCTAAGCAAACATTCTGTGGATAAAATTCTAATTGTTTGCACAAAGGCTACACTGGCAACCCTGACTATTTTTATTCCCAAAATCCATTTTTATTTCTAAACTAGAATCAATACTTAAAAACAGTAACACCAAGACAATATTATCAACCCATATAAATGTCAACTAACCTAATTTCATGCTCATATGGGTATTTGAGGGGGAATACCCCATATTTAGACAGGGCTTTCTTTTACTTCATGGCTGACAATGTGGTCAAATATGCTGGTTTCAGACACAATTTTTAAACTTTGAACCATTAAAACATTATATTACCCAAAGAGAATGTTTATAATGTAGCATGTTTTCTCTGTCATTTCACTTTCTATTATTGTATGCAATGTTACTTTAATTAATGCCGAGTATTTTATCACTTTAGCACTAAGTTAAGATTCAATCATAATATATTGTAAACATTGGCGAAAATTTAATCATATTAAAAGTAATGGGAATTATCTCTTGTTTTGTATGAGTGTGCACTGTTAATTGTTTCCAATGCTTAATCTTTCAGTCACTGGCTCGTTTGAATAAGTATGGTTTGTGTCTTGAACCCAAGATGAAGTACACAATTCTTGAGGACATTGGCAAACAATTCATCGATCATGCGGCGGATTTGGTAAAGTCTGGCCACACATTTGTGTATGTCCTTGACAACATAGATTGGGAGGAGAAGGTGCATGATATGAGGCAAGATGTGCAAAACAAGAGTGTTCATGCAGTTGCAACAAGTATTGTTTTTGACCGTGTTTGTCATCAAGATTGCCGGATTCTGGTCCACAGAGAGATCTGAAAGATTGCAATGTCCATCAGTTGGTGGATATCAATCGACTGGAATTCGATGCAATCCGAAACTGGTATAGAATATTTGTTGCCAAACTGTTATTTGAACATTTTCCAAGTTTTGCTATGTTCAAAACATATGTACCAGAAAGTACTGAGTGCAAATATGTGGAGGAGATGCGAAGAAAGTCCGAAGTTGTGACAATGCCAGTTGTGATGAAGGATGAAAAAAAATATGCTGAAGTAGTGGATGTTCTAGATCAGCTTGAAAAGTGGACACAGGAAATCTATTTAGCTGCTGGATTTTGCTTACCAGATCCTGAACCTGACAAGACATTACAGCAGCAATTGGAACCACCTCTAGACCGGACCAACCTGCTGCACATATCCCACCAACTGCTTCGAACAATGATCCATTGTGTGGTGTGAAGATACCATGTTATGGTTTCAACTCACTCGTGTCAGGTTTGCTGGAGCGAAAGATCTGAGGGCTGGATGCCATTCAGCAAAGCAAAGATTCGACCATATATATCCCTTCTGCATTGTTGATTGGCATACAAAGAGAAGTTTCTTGAAGGTATATGCAATGATTTTGTTATATTTAATGTTTTAGATTTTTACTCCAAGTCACATAATCATGTAGTGCACTATATTTCATTACAACAGATTTTTCAGACAAATTTAGTTTGTTAAGTGCAAAACCAGTCTTGTTGAGAAGCAGTTTATATTGTGTCACAGGATTACACAAAGGAAGAGTTAGCCTTTCGGAATTGGCCACTATGTATATTTAGTTTTTTTGCTCCAATTTTTGGTTAATGTTTTATTTTTGACAGTGACAGTGTTCATATGCATTCATGGGTAGTTTGGTTTTCAGTACTGGTATTTAATTGTGTGCAGTTACTACATCATTTAATATTTTTGTTGAGAGAACAATCATATAACATCCGGTGAACTTTAATACCGGATATGACCTTTCATTAAATTAGCGAATCATAAGATACTTGAACTATTACGTCATGAAAAAAAAAATCCTGAACGCATGTTGAACGTTTTTACGCAGATACATATTTTTTTTACTCGTTCTTGTTACCAATATATTGATATTATTCCTTGGTGTAATAAATTTAAAAAGAGAAACGATGTCTCTCCATTCAATACACTCAACAATTTTTTTATATAGACTGTATTCAAGAAGCTTTATAAGAACTCGGGGCGAGAGAGAGGAACTCTTCGGTTTTTCAGAGAGAAGCTCAACCGAAGGAATGTCACTGAAGATGTTAAACACTATGAGGACTGTGAGCAGCTGTTTTACAGTGTTGGGAAGTGTTATGTTGTTGAGGCATTGTTGGAATTTTTCCAAATGGCTGATGCAGAGGACCGACCAACAGCAAATGGTCCTCATAGTGTTTATGTTCTCACAGAAGAATATAGGAAAACCTATATTGTGGATGTTCTGGACAAATTTTTGAACGAGTTTGTCTTTAACGATGGAGATGAGAGTTCATCAGACGAGAACACATCAGACAGTGTTTGGTGTTATGGGATGAACATCATTAAGAGCTTCCTGTTGCTTGCAGATTTCAAAGATGCTGTGTCAACAGGTAATGGTGAGCACCTGTTGATTTTGAGGAAGCAGCTGTTGGTCCATTTCTTTTCGACACCTGGCTTCAACGAGTTTGCAATCGAAATGCTAATCAACATCCTCCAGTGCGAAGTCTTGCTTTCGGAAGCAGAGGCACATCGTTGTAAATGGGCGGCTACCGGCTACGGTCAACTGGAAAGGCGGTTCCAGTAGGAACATTGAAATTGATCTTTTTCAGGAAAACCGAAATTGCGAAATGAAGAAGCTGATAACATCAATGGGGGCGAACAAAACGGAAAAGGCGATCAGCAGAGCAAGCAAGGCTTCTGGAGGTGTGTCAAAGATTGTGGAAGCGTATGATCAGCAGGTAAATATTCAAAAACAATTCAGCTCACATTCTCACAAGTCATCAAGTATTGACGAAAAAAGTATACGTGCGGACTTGCAAAATTTAAGACCCTTCCAGATGGAAGATGGCAGACATTTCGAGTCTTTTGTGTGGATCTCACCTGACCCAACCTCATCATTCGACCAAACCAAATTTACAACCTGGATCAACCGACACACGAAAAACATTCTCATGCACTATACGGTAGCAGGTGAATCAGATGAAGAAGATTCAGGAATATAGAATTGCATGGAAAAACATTTTCAATGTGCAACATCACTAATATTAGGATCATTTTCTTGAGGACTGTTCATTTCTTATTAATTATAGATAGTGTAGATAAAATTATTTCATTTATGTAGATAGAACTATTCCTACATATGCACATAAGATGGAAATGTTCGAGCATTCCAAAAACATAGGGAACAAAAAAACTGCAACTTATTGAAAAGGATTTATTTGTTAGAATTTGAATGCCCTAGGGTGTAAAAAGAAAAAAAATGACATTTCCAAACTAACTAAATGTTGTGAAGCACAAAAGTTTATCACAACTATGTTTAATCTAATAGCTCATAAGGTCCCTTCTTTTAAAATGCAATGTTTATGTGATGTGCAAACATTAGCTTAAATTAAAAATTTGGAGCCTGTGTATTAAACTTAAGACGGCAGGGTTGTGGCATTCAGATTTTAAAATTGATTTATTTCAAAAGTTTGCGTTTTTTTGGCATTCTCTATAAGATTTGAGAACTAATAAGTGTACATAAATTAAATAAGTAAAATTGGGTTTAAGAATATTTTTGGCATTATTAAAAAGGTTTACTTTTCAAAGGAAAGGCACTAAGATAAAGTTTTCTGTCTCAAAGTATTGACTACAGCGAACTCTACAATGCCTGCTGTAAACATTTACACTGCAACAGTTACATTGCAACAGTTGCAAAAAACAGCATGAGCAATTATTTTTACCTGAACAAAGTTGCCTTAGGATTTCTTGCTTTATCTAAGAGGTTTGTGGGACATGGAATTGTACACTGCAAATAGCCTGCTATATACAAATAACCAGGGGGAAGTACTGTTTATTATTGAGATCATGTTCAAAAAAGTTGTAAGCAAGTCCACATTGCGAAAATTATATATAAATAATAGTTGTGGAAAGTACACTACGCTTTAATAGCTCTTTAAAAATTGGTGTCAAAATTGATTGTTTAGCATAAACATATTTTCCTTTGTGATGTTAAATGTTTTGCCTGTATTCTAAAAGCTCACTCACACTCACACTCAATGAGTGGACACTCATTCTTAATGAGTGCAACTCATCACTCAATGAGTGTCCACTCACACTCACATAGTATAATGCCACACTCACACTCCAACTTTTCAAAGACACCACTCACACTCAAGTGAAGCTCAGATTTTGAGTGAAGTGTGAGTGAGAGGCATACGTCCCTTGAGCTACACTCAGTTATACTCAGTTGCAGTTAGTGATTCAAATATGGCGGAAAGGTGGTTAAGAAGGTTAGAATTGCTGGATAATGTCTCAAGAAACAACAGAGATAGGCGGAGACCATATATTTTAATTATGGGAAATATGACGAGGAGCAGTTCCGTGGCAGATACCGAATAACTAAGGCCGGATTTCGAGAGTTACTGGAGATAATTAGGCCAGAAATATCTGCACACAATGACCGAGGGAAACCTATTCCCGCAGATATCCAACTTTTGTTGACGCTCAGGTTTTACGCTACGGGAACATTCCAGCTAGCATGCGGAGATTTGTGCGAAATTTCGCAGCCATCAGCAAGTCGAATTATAAAGCGAGTATCCGAGGCAATCGCACGCTTAAAAAACAATTACATAACTTGTCCTGAAGGTGATATGTTGGATCAACTTAAACTAGATTTCTGGAGAATTTGTGCATTTCCAAGTGTTGTGGGTGCAATTGACTGTACACACATAAAAATACCATGCCCGGGGGGTGAAAATGCTGAACTATTTAGAAATCGAAAAGGATACTTCTCAATAAATGTTCAAGCGGTTTGCGGGTCAAATTTAGAAATTTTAAACATTGTCGCTCGTTGGCCCGGTAGCGTACACGATGCTAGAATATTCGACAATTGTCGCATATGTGCACAGTTTGAACGTGGTGATATCCCAGGTATATTACTTGGAGAGTAATTGATCCGCAGACCCGACCGGAACGCAGATATAATGTGGCTCAAACACGTACACGAAACACAGTGGAAAGGATGTTTGGGACATGGAAAAGGATGTTTCCATGTCTTTTGACGACACTTCGCACAAAACTGCAAACGTCCCTAACTATATATATAATTGTCGCTACAGCTGTGTTGTATAACTTCGTAAGAAGCCGAAATGATCCCATAGATGAACCAGATCATATTCCGGCTGATGAGGAAGCATTAGATGATATGCATGCTGATGAAAGACGCTTGGGAAATGCGGTTCGACGATCCCTGATAATGCGACATTTTACGTAAACTATACATATCGTATTCATATTGAAGACACAATTAATATACATGTATACTAAACTATTAAATATACAATATACATCATTGATCTTTTGTTCTCTAATTACACAACTTAATAATGGCCAGAACAAGCAATATATAATATGCTCGTACAACCATTTCCTATTTTTAGGGCTTTTTGTCGTTAATTTTGCTTCCTAGCCCGTGTTTTTGGTTTCTGTTCCTGCTCTTGTGTGGATTTAATTGAATTTGTCATCGATTCCCAATATTGCAGTTCAGCGTCTAGCACTTCCATTTTTCTTGTGTGTTCATTTATTATATTTTGTTTTTTTTAACACCAAGATCTCCATCTCTGCTTCATGCTGCTTGCTTTGCATGTCCAAACAATGTGCTTGGGCAGCGGATATTTGAGGTTTTCTTGTGAATGATGGTGTGAGGGCAGCGTCAACGACAGATGGCGGCAATTCTTTTTCGTTCGGTGCAGTGACTTCACCTGAAGTTGTCGTCTCTAAATCAATTTCATTTTCATCGCGATCGAATGCTATACATTA